TAATGTTCACTATTCTTTCTGTTAAGTAAAATAAAATTCCTGGGCATTTGTAATAAAATAAGCATAAGGATAGAGAGGGCAATAGGCCAACTAAAGTCTTAACAAATGGTTCTAGAGCAACTGGACATCCATAAACAGAAAATAAAATTACATTGACCTAAGTGTCTTACTTTTATTTTTTATATACTACTACATAGAATACATAATAATTATATTCATTTTTGAGAATTAATTCATATACATATTATGCACAACTTTACCAGTAACTCAAAATGGCCTACTAACTTAACTATAATATATAAAAATGCAGCTTTTAGAAGAAAAAAAAAGAGTGAAAATGTAATACTATCCAGGGCTGTGTAACCAGGTTATGCAGTTTGACCTTACAAATATAGTCTGTGAAAGGAAAATTGGGATAATTTGGAATTCATTAAAACTCATTTTTTAAAGACTTCATTTTAAAAGGATGAGAGAGGACTGGGGATGTATCTCAGTGGCATAAGTGCCTGCCTGGCAGAGGCAAGGTCATGACTTTGATCCCTGGTACCAAATAAATAAGTGGATGAGAGAAAATTGCAGACCAGAAAGATGAATTGCACACCTTGTAACAAAGAGCTAGTCTTTAGAACATATAAAACTTCTCAAACTCAGTAGTATAAAAGCAAACAACCTAATTAGAACATATGAAAAAGATATGATGAGACTTTTCTCTATAGTGTTTACAGATGTAAATAAGCCCTTGATATTTAACATCACTCAACATTAGGAATGTGAAAAGTAAAACCACATTAAAATACCATTAAACACTTATCAGAATGAAAAATAGAGCCAATCCAAGACGTTGATGAAGAGAGGGAGAAACCAGATCACCCATCCATCACTCACGGAACATGAAATGGTTCAGCGACTCTGAAAAATACTATGAAATTAAAAACAAGACTAAAAAAAAAAAAAAAAAAACCCATGCATGAGATGCTCCCAAGACCCCTCCTGGGTGTTATCTGAGAAAAGCAAAACTTTATAGTCCCACAAAACCTGACACTGATGTTGATGGCAACAGCTTTGTTCATAATCACTCCAAACTGGGAGCAACACAGACTACCAAGGGTAAACGGCTGAGCAAACACACTGTGGCACCATCGTTTAGGAAAAAAGCTTCATCTGCTCACCACTGCATCTCCAGAGCAAGCACTGTACTGGCCACATAACAGACCCCATGCATGTATTTGTGCAATACACAAAGAATATTTTCATATTACCGTTAACCAAGATGTTTAAGAAACCACAGAGGCAATTTCACTGGTGTTTGCTCTCTGCAATTCAAGTTATGTGTAGTCAGCCACAGTCTACAAAAATTACTTGGAAAATTCTAGAAATAGTTGTTAAAATTTAAATAAATACCATTTCATTAGAAATGGTACTCTAATCATTACTGGTAAACTCTTGCTGTGCCTGATTTACAAATTAAATATTAATGCATGCATGAGTGGAGAACATCATATTTATGACTCAGTACCATCCGGCACTTAGGCATCTGCTAGGAGTCCTGGAATGAATCTCTTAATAAAGGGGTGCTGCAGGTTAGCCACGCCACAGAATACTACTCAGTTATGTAAAGGAACTAATTATTAGTGCACAGAGCAAAATGTGTGAATCTGTAAAGCAACTTAACGCGGAGTGAAAAACACTGATCCTGAAAGTCACAACTAGATGTTGTAAGTTGTGTAGCATTCTCAGGATGACAAAATTTAGAAAATACAGAACAGATGAGTGACTGCCAAAGGTTGAGAAGGAGTTAGGTCCAGGAAAGAAGTAACCTGTATCTATAAAAGTGTGCATGTGAGATCACTGATGGTGGGAAGGTTTTGTAGTGTGATTTATAACTATTCAGTGCCATGGTCCTGATAATATGCTACAGTTTTGAAAGATGTCATCATTGGGCTTATTGGCCAATGAATATAGAGGTCCTTTTCATAGTGTTTCTTAAATGATTATGGATTAGAAATAGTTTGTTTTCCAAGTCCCAGCATTACTTGGGCACTGTAAGAAATGTAGAATGAGCCTGTCCCAGACCTTCTGCGTTTTAATAAGCCCCTAAGATCATTTACAGGTGTATCCAGCGGTTTAAGTCATAGCTAGTAAATGTGGCAGAGGCCGAGCATGGGAACAGTGACCAGCACACAGGAACTGATGCTTTTATTCCTTTCTCAGCTATTGAGTCCATTATTGAGCTGACACATAGAGCGTGGACTCTGTGCTTTAGGTGCCTAGTTGCATCTGAGGGGTCATGCCGTGGAGAGGGGCCTGGGAAGTTCCCCATCTGATGTCTCAGTCTCCTTACCTCTAAAGGGGAAGAAGGAAAGAAAGACTATTTTTACCCTGGAGCAGAATCATAATTCTACTCACCTCAGAGTTTATCTGAGTGCTGGCGTTTTGCTCTCTCTTCTGCTGCACAACTGCTCAGTAATGGCTCTCACTGAACGCTCTGTTTAACGTGCAGCTCACCATCCCTTTACATGTGCGATGGAAGAAAGAAATGCTGCCAATTAAATGGCGACTGACACGGCATCCTTGACATTTGGATATCTGTCTGCATCTTAATTAAATGCTGAAATTAGCTAACTTTTCGTCCCAGGGCATGGACCCTGGATCTGTGTCCCCTACTATATCTTATATATACTTTAGATTTACTTGGCAACATTATTATCCTGCATGGTTTTTGTACATGGATAAAAAGTAAATAATCTATTCCTAACACTTGAAATTCCAAACCAAGGTGCATTTTAGAATATGTTCTCTGCTAGGAGTAACTGAGAGAGCGCAACGTTAAGAATCAGCACAGGCTAGAAGCCGTAAGTGTGGGGCTGTGACAGTGGCTTTCCGATGACATGCAACAAGCCTGCGTGCAAGGGTGGCCTCATGAATGTTGAAAAACTACAGATTTAGCCTCTGCTTCCTCCCCTCTCCTCAACCCTGAGTCTCCTTGTGGCTAAAAGAATATTTTTCTGCTGCCTTCAGTACTTTTTTCTAAGTCTTGACCCATACTCTGCAAATTTAAAGCTTTGGTTTCCGATGTTTCACTATGCCCCGATGAGGAGAATTCTAGGACAAGTTCAGCCTGGCTTGGCCAGCAGAGATTAAGAAGCAATACACATTCCAAACTGTATGTGCAGGTTATAGATACTAAAGAGGAAGAAAAGTTGTGTTTTGGAAAAGATGAAATGTAACAGTAAAATGTACATTGTTTCAAAGAAAAAAGGTGCGTAAAGTGATTTGCTTGTAAAATAATCACTTGAATTCTCTTGCAAGTGAGAACTCACTGTCTAGTGCTCCATGATTTAGTGTTTACCGACCCCAATACCTGGGTACTTATTAGAAATGCAGGATCTGAGTTCTTACCTTAGATTACTGAATTAGAACCTACAATTTTAAGAAGATCTCCAATTAATTGTCTAGCACATCCAAATTTCAAAACTAGTCTTCACTGTATCACAGGTAGTTTCTCGCCTGGCCCACTTTAAGAGGACTTCCCTGTGTCAGTAGGCATGTAGCCCTTCTGCACTCCTGTCCTGCTCAGTGGGTCACAGTGGAAATCTTGCTGCAAGGTCTCCTGACATTTGTTACAGGCACTAGGAGCTGGGATTACCTTTATCCCCTGCACCTATCCCACCACACTTGATGCAAGCACACCAGAAGCACGGCCTTAGGAGAAACTCACAACTACTTTGTCTCCTACAAGGTACAACAAAGCCCACTGGCGGGCAGATTCTCAAGTAGGTGCCTGCATGTGCACTTTCTCTTACCAGTATCTAAAAACCTGTTCTGCAGGGAAATCTTACTGACTGTCTCTTCCTGTTTTCACTTCTTAAAATTCAACAATGGACTTGCTATTTCAAAACTGAAATCTGGGAAGACACTCTAAGCAGCAGCCATGAAATGCCTGCAGCTTCCAGCCAGAAATATTGTCTTTACCTTATTTAGCATCTTACGTTGGAGACTCACCCTCTGCCTGAGATCATCCAGCCCCCCAAAGCCAGAGTTCAGCTATGTCCATAGGATCAGGAGACTCTAAACTACCCCCTGCAGATAGTGGCAGGCAACCCACTAAAAAAATGTCTCACTCACATGCTGCTGCAGCCTAAGTAGGGACGTTTGAATCTGTGCCCCAAGCACTGTGTTTGCGGCAAAGAAACAGCTTCTGTGTTTGCCTATGAAGTTAGCCATGTTTCCAGGCTGAAACACTGAGCTGAAACACCGAGCTGTGGGTCTGATGATCCTATTTCTACCATTATCACTTTGTACCTTCACCTGGTGCCACTGGCGTCAGCTCACCTCTGACCCTTTCCAGAGTCCTCATTTCTTGGTCTTTCATTCCCGCTTCACTCCTGGGTCGTCTTCACTTCAGTGCCTCTTGGCTGCGTTGCATTTGCTCAGCAGAGACCGAGGCAGGCTGGGCCCTGTGGCCCAGGAGCTGGTGGTTCAGCAGGGGTGATAGATGATCCAGGTAGAATTCATGAGAAAACGCAGGCAGCAGCGGATAAACCCAGGAGTACTAGTCACAGGTCACAGGAGCACTAGTACGTGCTTATATTACTGGGTTTTGTTGGATCAATGAACAGAACTGTTTGCAGTCTCACTGTTTGAATGTCCACTTTATATGCTTTAATTTTGTAACTTGAACAGCTATCTCTAAGATAACAATATGTAATCTATTAACTAGTGATTTCCTACTGTTTATTTTTTCTGAAATTCTGTGTAACTTGTACCCTTTTTCTGTTTTTTTTTCCTACTTAAATTAAAAACACACACACACACACACACACACACACACACACACACACACACACACAAGAGTCCAAACAGTTTGATTGGGAATTGGGAAGTTTCTAAAAGAACACTTGGTGAACTTTTGGCTTGATGTGGCCTGTACTTTCTCAAATGCACAGACTCTTAGAGAATTAGCATTTTTGGTGAGCAGTTCTGAACTCCCTGCCTCCTACATTCCAGACACCAGAAGCCTTCCCTGTAGTCATCTGCATGGCAGGGAAGCCTTCCCCAGGAAATGACTGGAGCTGAGAAGTGGTGATGAGGCTGGGCCTGAGAGGATGCTGGTAGGGGGAGGGATGGCTTTCACAGCTACTCTTGAAGTTGCCATTAGCTGCATCTGAGAGCCTCTGAAACACAATTGACACATATGTATAGTGGTTCCCCTGGGATTCTGTAACAAACTACCACAAACTGAGTGACTTAAATATCAGAAATGTGTTTTCTTGCCATTGTGGAGGTTTGAAGTCCAAAATCTTGCTCATTGTCCTAGCCCCAGGTGTCACTGTTAGCATTCCAGTCTCTACCTCTGTCATCCCTCCATCCTGCCCTGCATGTCCTTGACACTGTGTGGCCCTCTCCTTTCTTCGTGTCTGTCTGTGTGCCTCATTTCTTTCTGTAAGGACACTAGACAGACGGGGCTAAGGATCCACCTTCCTCCCAGGTGACCTCATCTTATACTTGTAAAGACCTTCTTTCCAAACAAGGCCGTGTTCATCAGGTCTTCTTTTGTGGGGATGTAATTCCTCTGCTACAAAGATCTGCTTAGAGCTGCTGAATTGGTGCTTCCAGTAAGAGGTCAGAGATGAAGTCAGTATTAGGCACATAATTCATGCTAAAGAGACCAAGGAGAAAATGTTAGGAGAATTCAAAGAAGCCTGTCCTGTTTTTCCCCAGCTGTGGCTCATCAGATTGGTCATTTGATGTTCTACATGTCCCACTGATATCACAGCTTAAGAAAAATGTGAACAATAGCTCTTTTTAAATATATATTAGAGAGTATCATGAACATAACTATAATGACCTGACTATCTGGTACACTGTAAATATTCTAGACCTTGGGTACCTATGGTGGCCCTAGACACCAATATCTTTCACTGGGCTTTGTTTCCTCATTTGATACAAGGTGTACTAGATAGCCTCCAGAAGGTAGACTGCTTAGAGATGGGGGGAATCCTAAAATGATCAACAAGAGGGGCACCTCGTGGCTTTCGTTTGTATGTTTTGGAGCCAAAAGAGAAACCAAAAGAAGATACTGTTCAGAGAGTACCAGGTATTCCACAAAACTCTTTCACTTCTCCCAGCTGATTCCAATGCTCATACTTGTCATATAGTCCGTACTGTACTAGGAGAAATGAGAAGATGGTGTTATTCCAGAACGTAGCCCTGTGAATGTAAAACCACCCACCAATGTCAAAGCCGCGTTGCCTTTCCGGCACCTCCTTCACTTATGCTCTAGGGGAACAAGAGCATGATTTGGATTGTGAGATGAGAAAGGTAGAACATCAGTGACTCAACGTTAAAAAGTTTAGCCAACAACTCTTTCTGAAATAAATTAACAAAATAAAAAGTATTCCATATTTTATGAGATGAATGGAAGGAAAAGGAATTGTAGTAATGGGATTGTTGCAATGTTATAGCCCAGCATAGCTTTCAAGTTACTAGCGTCTCGCCTGTGATTCAATGACGCCATAAAACTTTTTCAGCTCCCTTCACCAGGCAGGAGTGGCAGAAGGAGAAGCACATTCCACTTTGCTCTGATGCAGTGATGGTGAAACCGTGGAATGCATGCTGCGGCCAGCTGCTTGCTATCACAGAAAGCTCTAAAAGGTTCACCACCACTGCTCCAGCCAGACAGCCGTAAACACAAAGTGCCTCCAAGATGGTGACCTGAAGGAAGATGGACTTGCAGAACTGAAGGACAAAGGCGCAGGTTATGGGAGAGATGGAATCGGATGGAAAAGAAATCTTTGAACTCTGGGTTCTGGAGCTGTTACTCCAAGATGCACTATATTCGAAGGTCTAAAACTTTAAGTGCTGCTACGACATCATCAGTAAACCTTGCAGAGGCCCTAAGGTCTAACCTTGTAATTTCCTTTGTTCTCATCGTATGTGTCACCCACCCACTGAGCTTCCCTGTCAGCCTTGCTGGAAGCATCCATTTGGTCCTCAGCCTTCTTGTCCATCTGGAAAGCTAGTCAATCAAGAAATCACATCCTCCTGCAGGAGCCCAGGACACACCTGATCCTGTTACCACCAGAGTCCTGCTGGTTCCCTGCACTCCTGACTACACAGTGTGTCTGCCCCTTCATGGAGCGTGGTGTCCTCCTTCCCTGGGCTGCTGAGTGTATATGATCATTCATCTCATCTGTCTGGTTTCACCACACCCAGGCCTCCAAAGCAGTGCTCTTCCAACTCATCACTGGATTAAAGAAGAGGTAAACACAATATGCTTTCACTTTAGGGGAAGAGAATGAGTTCCAGAGAGAGGAAAGAACCACTCTACCAAGATTTTCACAATGATGACAATGGTAGTGTAAAATGTTTAGTGAGCATCCTTAGTGCATTCAGCATTTGCTGTGCATGTGTTATCTGACTTCATCTTCAAAATAACCCCGATAGACCCTCCATCGTTATTATTAACGTTATACTTGTGGGGAAATCAGGCACAGTGAAGTCCTGTGTGAAGACTGCACAGCTGGTGCATTGCTAGAATTCAAGCCCATGGCCTGGGAATGACTTACCTGTACTCTTGACACTGTGTTAAACCCTTATGAGGTTGTCATTCGGAAGCTCTACTATTCTCATTCTACAAATTTTGACTCAGAATGTTTCAATACCTTTTTCCAGGTTAAAATGATACTGAGCCAGGGAGTTTAATTTAAGCTCTCTTATGGATTTTGGTTAACTGTTTGTTTTTGTTTTTGTTTTAATATTACCAAGATAACTGATTGCATGAAGTGAATGGGAAAAAGGGTCAAAATGCCATTACAGGACTCTGGTAGGTGTCCTAAGATCTAATTTTTGCTTGGCTTTTCATGCCTGTGTTTTGTGACAATATTTTCTACAGCAATAACTATGATTTCAGATATACTGCTAAATGTTTTATGAGAGGTATCATTCCCATCTTGCAGATAGAGAAATGGCTACCACAATCTCCTTACCAAATTTGGCACACATCATTTTAGGTTGCCAGGTGTAGTTGCTAAGGAAAACTCTGGTCTGCATCCAGAATATGATATTTACCAGTGAGTGTAGTCTTGCAGTTGTATTTAACTTGTCTGAAACTCAGGTTTTAAAGATACAGGCAGTTATAATAGTAGCTATCTGATAGGATAGTTGGGAGGATTCTCTGAGAAGCTTGTTGCAAGCCTTTAAATATGTATTTGATAGGAGACAGCCATTATTACTAACTCTACACACGCATGTGGAACCTTAAGGATCAGCTATTCCAACTTTATTTTCTAGTTCTGAGTGAGAAAGAAGCTGGGTTAAAGTCATGCAACAAGTAGGTGCTTAAATTAAGGGTGTAACATGTTGATCTTGGGCATGGTAAATATTTTTACATTAGTGCATATTTTTCTCCTTTTAAGGTGTGTGTGTGTGTGTGTGTGTGTGTGTGTGTGTGTGCAAAGAAATGAGAGATCCAGTCTAGTGTCTTAGTTGCCTTCTAATCAGAAAATATGAATTTTGTTATCAAAAGGCTAATTTGGGTCTTCAAAGAAGAATTAGTAGAGACTAGGAAATTACCGACACCAAGAAGAATTCATGAACTTAAAATTAGAACCTCAATTTTTTTTTTAGTTTAAGCTGTTTTTCCAGCTAGATACCTATTAAGGGCCATAGAGACCATTACCAGTGTCACTAATAATTAAAGTATGTGAATTCAGAATAAAATATACTGATTTAACGGTAAATATTTACTTAGAAAAAGTTTGTTTTGTTTTTCTGACTTAATTCTTGGTCATGAAGATGCATGCCCCTCCTCCGTGGTGGTCCTATTAACTGTGCTCCCTTTAATTTTCTTCCATGTACTTACAGCCTATAAAAGACTCATGGCTATTATAAAGCATGATAGCCATGGTGGGTGGGTCTCATTGTCTCCCAAGCAATATGTCGTTATAGGAAAACTAAACTCCAAAGCAAATCTGTCAGCAATCTAATCCAAGTGCTATAGATACAAGTACCTTCCAAAGAACCAATGATTTCATGGCCACAGAATTTGCCTGGTGTGTTTGATGACCTACATAAGAGCAGGAGACATTTCGGGAAGGAAAGGCAATTGAAATTACTCAGTCCAACCTTCCAACCACCACACACATTGGTCCTTCTCTATCTCCAGGACTGAGGCAGAATCACGAGGACCACCCATTCAGGTTCTAGATACACCGATTTGCTGCATTACCTCCTTGTTCTGGGCTCTGTCCTACACTAGGTGCTATCTCTGTGCCCTGTCTTAAGTACCCTCAGTTCCTTTGAGCTCATTCACGTGCTGGATGACCAGTCAAAGTTGTGACGGGCTCAAACCTGTATCAGACAGAGGCTGTGCACATTTTCTCTTGTTCTGCATTTTCCTGTGGGGAGGGCTGATATGCTAGGGACCACCTGAGTGTCCGACTCTTCATCTTCTGTTTGCCCATAGCTTCTGCTCATGCATTCTACCAAACCTACCTGGTTCCATAATCAGAGTGGCACTAGCAGTGCACCATAATGCAGCAGTATATAAAGAGGGCTCCAGAGTGACCTGCAGCAGTTTCTGTCTCTGCGCCCTCATTTTCTGACTGTAAAATGAGCTTCATAATAGCACATATATCACAGGTTTCTTGTGAAACAAACAAAGTGTAAACAATCAGCTCAATCATGCGGTATTAGCATCTTTAGCACTAGGTCTTACTGTTATTCTTATAGAATGTGTTTTATATATTAACTTACAGATTTATAAGTGGACTTTACTTGCTAGGTTATTTCGTATTAAATATATGGTACCATTTCAAGAAGATCTGACTCATGCTTTTTAAAGTCAGGTCACCCTCAGTATAATGAGGTGAAGTCCTGGCCTAGATTCGTGTGCTCCTCTCACCGGGTGCTCATGACCCTGCAGGGGTGTAGAGCCTCTTCTTGGCTAGACTTTGTCTGTAGCAGAATTATTCAGATCTAGTCTCAACCCTTGGAGTAAGATGAATCATAAACACAGCATTCCCAATAATTTTCAGGTCTTGGGTGTACTATGATTTATCATTTATGCCCTGGAGCCTACACCAGAAGTGGCACTGATTTTTCTGGACCTGGTCTGCCTAACTCCTGTTCAATGAACCTTCTGAAAGCATTACTCTTGCTTATCTACTCCCATTTTCCATGTCATAATATGATGTTGAAGCTGAGGGCATACTTCAGGGCATGAGAAGTCTAAATGATTTCTCGGTTTTCCGTTGCCTTGACTCTCAAAAATTTGTTAAGGATAAAGGCAAGGAAGAGACGTGGGCATGGCATGGTGAACAAGGGCTTTCTGCTGAGGACTTAGCAACTGCTGAATGTCTTGAGGGTAGCAGACACCTACATTTTCCTGAAAAAGTGCTTGAAAATCCCAAGGTGCCCAGTTCAGTGAATCTTAAACAAGTATATGGAACATTGTGTTTGTGCTAAAACATTTACATTTGCTGTTTATAACTGATTAATGAATGATAAGCAGCCAGAAGTGGCCTAAAGGTTTATTAGTGAGTGCCAGAGAAAGTAAGGTATTCTTGTGCTTCTTCTTCTACAAATAAATATTGCTTCTTCCATTTAAAACAATAGATGCTTGTGCTCTCTGAAGATATTTAGATAACTTTCATAGGTTGATATTAATATCCTGGAACCACTTTCCTACTTCTGTTTGCTCTACAGCCTGCAGTGTAGAGATGGGCTTCTGGTCATACCTTAGTACATGAAGAGAGGAAACTTTTACTGAAAATCAACAGTACATTTTAATAGGCTGCATCAAATTCATAAACTGAAGACTTTGAAGCAGAGCAGAAACTCTTCTCATTCTAATGATGTGAGCAAGTTATTCAACTGTTGAAGGCTCTCTCCTCCACATATATAAGACACAATGATTATTTGAAATTCTGAATCCAGGGCTGACTAGCACCATAAGTAGATAATAAGATCTATATACTTAAGAAGTGGCTAAAATTGTGTGTGCATATCATTCCCTAGATACATGTCCTGTCCTTCCATACCGGAAACCATGAGTGGTGACTTTAATAAGACTTAACTCACATTTTCTGAATTAGAAAATATAAGGCTTAATCCCCATGAATCTTGTAGGAATCCTTTAGATAAAATGAAGTGTTCTACTGATTGGGCAATAATATAGAAACAGAACCCAACTAACAATTATTTGCATGTGATACTCATTCTGCATCAACTATAAAATCTCAGAATTCTATTCTTAGCTTTTAATCTATCTTATCTCCCAGCTCTCTACTTAGAAGAAATTAAGTCAAACCTCAAACCAGAAAAGGCAACAAAGGGATTTCTAGAGCTAATATTAATTGGCATCCAGTTGAGGTTTGGTTTGAAACTGGAAAAACGGCAGAAGAGATTTTTTGGATGGTATGACCTTGACAATGCTACATTGAAAGAGTGACGAGTTCCTCAGGGTTTCTTCTCGTTGTCACTGAGATCTTAAGGATCAACCTTAGAACCAAAGAATCAGTAAGTCGAGCACTGCAGATTGAGCTCAGTGGCACAGGCGCCTCCCTGGCAGGCAGGAGATCATGAGTTCTATCCAAAAAAGAACCAGTAAGTCTAAATTGTTTTGCTTTTTAAAGATACTAGTTAAATAAATGCAAAATATGCATGTCAAGGGACAAATTAAAGAGCACGTTTCTTTCCTTTATCTGAATGCAGGAATGATGTGTTTCCCTTGCACCTCACAGAACCACCAGAAGGAATAGAAGTCGACTTTCTGCAGAGAAAATTGGCTTCACTTTTCCTTGGCAGCGTACATTAATCCCATACTGAGGAGCTCTGATTTTTCCAGTGCTGAACATTTGCACAGTTGGGCTCATAGCTTGCTCTCAGGTGCAGCGCTGCTCACACACGTGCTGCACAATGAAACTAGAACTGACACATTTCTCACTGAAGCCTCCATCCCTCCCTCCGTTGCTGAAGTCTAGGGCTCTTGCTGTGTTACTAAGGAGGT